AAAAAAACAAAAAAACAGAGCGAAAAACAAATTCGAACAATACCTCCGAAAATCGTGAGTTTTTCTTGTGTGATGAGGTTTATAGCTTTGTAAGAGCATTGTTGTACTTTACCAGTGCTGTTGGCAATGGTAAGGTTGTTTGGAACAGTACCTTCAAATATGAATGAAATTTTAACATTTTTAATAATCATATTCTGTGAAGACAAGCGACTTTTTTTATCTTACAATAAACGATGCAGCGAACGAAATGGTATAGAAAGCGTCATTTTTCGAAAGTTGAAATCTCAAACCGCTGTAGTGTTAAAGAGCTATTGCAGCTTATCTACTGACTGAATTTTAAAATAGGATTCTAAACTATCTGATTTTCAAATCGAATTATGTTTGGAGTACTTGATTTCAGCGTTTTTTATTGCATTCAATTTGAAATCGGGCTATATGCATTGTAATTAAAATAGAAATTACCTGAAGCAATGTGAGGGAAAAGGACTACAAAAGACAGGATCAAGAACGGAAACATTTTCCATCTAAACTCCCAGTACGTCTACTCTTATTTGATATCAAGGGCGTGTCTTACCTCATAAAACGACAAGTCTTCACAGGTTGTTTCCCCGATGCAATTTCAACTCCAAACGTAATGTAGTCATATATTAATTGAAAATAAAAAAAAAATAAAAATAAAACCAACGAAAACTGACCATTTACAGCACGTTAGCGTCATTTGTTGAAATTTATGAGAACTTTATTATACCGGGAAAATATATGCATTCACTTATTGTCATTAAGAATAATATTTTAATGGTGCAAAACGGCAAGACGTCCGCAGCAGAGTGAAAAATCACATAAAAATACTAGGACATGAAAATTTGATTAGGTAATTGACCTCCAATTCGATAGTTAAAAAATCTGGCGTTTTTAGCCTAAGCTCCGCGTGGGATACGCACAGTTAGATTTATGTATGAGTGTCATGATTAACTCTAGAAGTGTTTAAATGCTGATATTTAAAGCCATTTTGTTTATATATAGATAATATTGATTTCCTTTTGCACAAGAGGGTATATTGAGGCGCAAGTTCATGTAAGTTGCGATTTAAATTCTGTTCGAAGTTGTAAAAACGATTTCCGGCTGTAGCCTGTTCCAAATCATTCTGCTGAAAGTCCCGTTATTCCGTCTATCCATTTCATGACCGATTTGACGTTTGCATACACTCCATAGCTGCCGGGTACAGCGCACCCTCGTCCCCAGCTCACCAGTCCTTTCAAATACCAGCTGGAGCCATCCTTGCAGACCAGCGGCCCTCCTCCATCTCCCTGACAAGCATCAACACCTCCTTCCTCGAAACCCGCACAGAACATTCTTGGTGTAATCTTGCGATCTTCATAAACCTTCTTACAGGCATCTTTGCTTGCAATCGGCACTTGAACGATCATCAGCTTCGCGAACGAGTTATTTCCGGGTTCCGGTGCTCCGTAGCCGGAAACGAAGCAGACCGTTCCTGATTCAAAGTCCGTATCTTCCTCGGGTAGCTTCACGGGACGGATGTACATCAGTGGACTTTGTTCTACGGGATCGGCTAGCTGCAGCATTGCAAAGTCATAGTCTTGGGTGTGGGGATCGTATAACTTATGAACAAATACTTCAGTTGCGTTAGTTAGCACTCCATCTTTGTTCCGAAGATCTTTCTCGCCGATGATGACCTCAATCACTGGTGTTGGCTTTAGGTTCCTCATATAGTAAACGCAGTGCGCAGCTGTAAGAACCCAGGCGCGGCCGATTAGCACACCGCAACAAAACAGGTTTGGTTCATTAGGTCGTCTGAGTCCTACCTGCCAAGTCCAGCTCTCGGGGGTTCCTTGACTGACGGCCTCCATCAAAGCTGACTCTTGCATGTAGAGCAACTGATCTATGCGTCCACCTGAAAAGTGAATGGAGCTCAGTGACGGTACCTTGGCCACGTACAAAATTACCTTCAAATTGAAGGAAACCTGAAAATAGTACTTCACTAAGAAGGGAAAACATCACAGAGATATTAATAAACTATAAAGGAACAAAGATGGTTAAGGATGGAGAAGATTGACACCGATTACAAACGACGAACTTGAAAACTTTAGGCTTAACTTTTCAAGATGCGCAAACCGTGGAGTAGCTCCTTTGATTGAATCGGAAAACAGTTTCGGAACATTTAAATCTTTATGCATGGAGAACCAGAAACATTATTAGATACATGAAAATTTAAAAGGAAAAGTTGTAGATCAAAGGAAATATTTTAGCGTGGTCCTGTAAAAAAAGGATAATAAAGTGGATGATTAGAAACGATGTGGTTTTTATCGTTTCCTAAGAATTACCGGAATTAACTTAAACGTTCAAAATTATTTATCGCTACCACACATGAATAAAGACATTAAAGAGAAAACCTGAAATACTCTTTATCTGTTGGAAACAACTGTAATCAGTGAAATGCGAGCATAATAAGATAACTAGGTTTGGATAAATATCTACCTGATCTTACTGAAGTGATGAATGACCAGAAAACAAGAATAATATAATACATTTTCAGAGAATACGACAGAAACCCCGGTAACATTATTTGTTCATGGCCAAGTGAAAAAACTGCAGGTGATACCTCGAGGTTATTCGCTCGTAGCTGGTGTAAACGACGCCCACGAATCAATTTATTGTGGATTTGACATATTCAGTAAAGGGAAACTCGCGTTCTCTTTAACAGGAATTTCGTTTATTCGCAGAACAGCTGTGGAAAAGAATGGCGTCAAAATGCTTCTGAGATCGTAATACACTTATCTAACAGCGTTGGAGTCTCTCTTGGGTCTTAAATTCCTAATTTCCTGTATCGGCTTTTAGTCATGAAGAATGCAACCTATCAGAAGGCATGTCTTAATATGTTAACTACCCGGAATCAGGAAAAGTAATGACTATCCACATTCTTGTCACAAAGCTGTTTGACCATGTATCGATATTGTAATGAGAATTTAGAAAAACATCATTCTTAGGGTTAAACAAAAGGTTAAATGTCTCAATTTACCCTTTCCAGGCGTTTCAGTCATTTTAATGGCGGGTGGCTTTATTTTTTCTTTTGAAAGTACCACCACGGTCAAGCTCTAATGAATCGTTAATTGATCAAACATGGCGGCTAACTTGTAGACTGAATTTGTAACAGGGACAAAGAAAATTCGCCATCCTTCAGGTAAATACACTTCTTGACATTGTACGATTTAATGGATTTCATCCCTGTTCATAAACCGATGGATTGCCTTAATGACTGTCTACAATTGTGTAAACAACTTGTAAACTAAGCCACAAGCGCATCCGTATTTCTGTGGTAAAATTCAGGTTTCGTTTTAGATTCGGGAAATATGTAAACAGTTTTAATCTATTCTTTTAAAATAGTGATTTTAATAGTATAATATGATTATATGTGTTCCTCGACATTTCTTCCAGTAATTATCGCAAAATTGGAATGGAAGTCTGAAGACATAACTATAATCCGACTAATTGTTTAGACAAATATTGAACCATAACAGGGCAGATCCAAATGGTTTGTAATACCGGGTACTTTTAATTTAGATGAAGATGTGAAGGAAGAGTAACTCCATCGATGGCACTCGACTTCTTCCATGTCCTTTTTGTTTGTTGTCTGGTATTCCGCGCAGGTGAGGGCAGCTTTCAGCTTCAAAATGTCATATCCAAATCAGTGCAGCCACCGCCTTGCTCAGAACATTATAGTCTACAGATTGTTTGCTTAACGTCTTAGTGAAATGGGCAAAACTCATTAATAAAATCTAAAGTTATAACAGCTAGAATGCTCAAACTCGTATTACCATGGTTAGTGCAACGTCAAGTATAGCTTCTAGATGGCATGAGCTTTTTTGAGGAAATACTTTTTTTTGGTACAGGGCCGGAGTAGGTTTTATGCGCCATCTTTGCTTTCAATTAAATGTTATTTCAGCTAGAAGTTGTGGCTACTAGAGTTTGTTATGTTTAACTAGTTAATGTGTTCTTTCCACTATCGAGGCAAACAACCGTCAAGCGAAAGCTCTTGTTCCAGGATTCTTCATCTGCAGTCAGATTCATGTGTGCGATGACCAACCTCTCGCGACAACAACTTGTTCTCACGTAATTAACTTGCCTAGTTGTCCTTGTTCTATAAAACCCAGGTTTTATTTCCTATGACAGCAAATAAGTTATATATTTTCCTCTCAGGCAACGCTTATGATTTGTTCGACCGCGACTGTGTAACCGAGCATAACAAATTGAGAAGGCTGCATGGTGCCCAGCCCCTCTCATGGTCCGAGTCACTCGCCGAGGACGCACAGAAATGGGCGGAGTATCTTGCAATAAACGACAGGATCGAACACGATGGGGACACTTTAGCCGAAAAGGACGAGGGAGAAAACATAGCCTGGTTCGTACCACCTCAGCCAAAATGTCAAGGGGCTTGGAAACCAAACTGTGTCACTTGCGGGGAGGTGGTACAAAATTGGTATGACGAGTCAGAAAACTACAATTACCAGACTGGGGCTGCAAAGAAACCTGACTTGCCAGTGAAGCACTTTGCACAGGTTTGATAAGTTCTATTGTAATTGCTCTTCTAACCGAGTCAGTATCATTTTGGAAGCTTCTGACTTTAGTTAAAACTCACAATCCATGTTGTTTTTCCATGGAACTTTAAATAATGCACTGCGGTTTGCCATTGCTATTATGAGAACTGATATATCAATGTTTGAGCAGCATATTGCTGTAGATAAAGAAAGGTGAACGAACTCGACTTTTAATCTGACGGGCCTGTTTAGGAACTCACCTAAAAAATGCTGCTGTGATAGACTTATTTAACAGGAACTTACTAAACACAAATTACCAGATTATTACAGTATTGTCGAAAAGTAATGGAAATTTGGTGCACTTTCTCCCGAAATGTCGCCGATATTTCGTCGAAGTTTTAGGGTCGGACGATAATGACACCTTGCTAAAATGTTGACAAAATATCGGCGTTTGGTTTGTCAGTAGATCTTCAAAAAACGCGTCCCTGCCCCCACCCTGATCGAATGTACTTCAACGCGTTTTCCGCGACTGGCACCCGTGGCTCAGTTCTGTAATTTTTCAGCACTGTACTGAAAAGAATGATTTGTCTTCTTAAGGTCGTGTGGAATGGCTCCATGGAGATTGGTGTTGGCAGCGCAATCTCCAAGACTTATGGTTTTATTTCTGTGGCACGGTATTCTCCAAAGGGAGGAGAAGGTGGACCGCAAGCTTTCAGGAAAAATGTTTTCGCTAAAGGTATTATCAGGTGTTGTTAATTTAATTTCCGTTAGCTGGGATCACACATTGCTTCTCCGAAATATGCACTGAAGTTGAGCACTTAAGGCAAGCTCAATACCCTACCTTTCTGTAAAGCGGACAGACGGTTGGCACTGCATGGTTCTGACAGAGAGTTGACTGTACTTATAGTGTTATGACACGAAGGCTGACGATTAAGAGCTCATTCTGTCATCATTGAGAGCGATGCAAAATTTATCTTGCAGTTTGGCACCCTTAGCTAATCCCTATCTACGGAAATATTTAAAGTTTGTCTCTGTATTGATCAAACAGGCATATTGCATATACCTACCGCACGAACAGGAGATGCGACGCCGATTTCTCCCTCTGATCCGACCACATCAGGTACGCTTTCCGACATATATCCTTATTCCTTCCTCTTTAGGATTATGCCATATGTGAAACCTATGAGACAAAGTTGACCTACTGACTAAGAAGATAAACCCTTTGCCCATGGTACCTTTGCATATTTTTAAACTTATCATAAACACGCATTCATAGTTATCTCCTCTAGCTTTCTGATTTGCTCAACATCCACTTTTTGTCACCACCTTAACCTTTTAATTTAAAATGGAATTGCAGGCTGCTTTAAATCACCAAAAAAAATCAATTTAACGAGCAATGCAGGAGAAAAAAAAATTAAATGTAGTGTTGATATTAGTGCAAAAGCCGAATTAAAGGATAGGACAACCTTGATTACCTCTTAAAGGCTGATTTAAAATGAACATAACAAAGGGAACTCGCCCTTGAAAACAACTTTGCAATATTTTTGTTATGTCCGAAGAAGAAGATGGAAACCCAACAGCCATAAGCGAAGGTTCACCTATGGATACTGACGAAGGTAAGATGATGAATTCACAACAATCGGTTTGTACATTTTTGGAATTGATTATAAAAAGTTTGAATCTGGCAATGATTTTTTACTCATATCAAAACATAATTTTCGTAACTGCCTAGCTCCAAGGGTGTGCCTCACAGACAATATCTCGTCAATTCCATATGCATTTTGTCATAAAGTAATTAAAGTTATGTTTTCTTTTTCATACGATCATAGCTTATCAGCGTACAAAAAAAAAACGCTTCCGTACATAGTATTAGCCTTTCAAAAAGTGAAAACGTAACGATAAAAGAACGTCAGAGTCAGTCAGCCAAACAAGATTTCAAGGGAAATTAATCAAGAGTTTATAATTCGGTGTTAGCTTTGGGAAGCATGCGCGCGAGCGGCAAAGCCGCTCCCTCAGGCCTTTCAGTAGCAGACTCCTTCCCGCCGGATGGTTGCGCCCTCCTCTTTGCTCGCGCGTGTGACTCGAGGGTTAGCCTGCCCGTAGGTTAGTGAATGGTTGAAAATATCAGCTCTGCCATGATTGGTTAGATGTTGCACCATTTCGTGAAAGCATTTACAAGCATTTACAAGCATTTCCAAGCTACGAAAATTGAAGATATATCGAGTAATTAGTTTTATAAGCAAGTATGTGGAGGTTTAGTGGGCATAGGTACTTGCGGCAAAACCCGACGCCCTTAATCTAGATCTTGGTCAAGCGTTGGTCGGGGTTCCGCTAGGTTATTTTTACTGTAGGTTTCTGTAACTTATAATAAATGCATGCAATTTTTCGCGCTAACACGTTGGTTCTCGTGGCGACAATTTTCAGAAATGACCAACCAAGAGTTGGAACAACAGCCTATGGAAGATATCACATGTGGAATAGTCAAAAGAAGAGGCCCTACTGGTAACGAACCTGTTAAGCCTGGAGAATTCCCTTGGCAAGTTGGCTTCAGATATCAGAACCGATTAGGCAAGTCAAACGTGTTTTGTCGCGGCTCCTTATTGGACAGGGAGTGGATTTTGACAGCTGCACATTGCTTTGTACTGCGGGTTAATCCGAAATTTAAGTTGAAAGTCATCCTGGGCGAATTCGATAATCAAAACAGGGATGGTCAGGAGGTTGTAGCCGAAGCTTCTGAAGTGATTAGACATCCCCTTCACAGGAAGAACACTAAAGATTACAACATTGCGCTTGTCAAGTTAAAAACGCCGCTTAAGGAGTACAATGACTTCATGAGACCGATATGTTTGCCGGACGAAACAGTGTCATTTTCAGGGGGAGAAATTTGCACTGTAACCGGTTCCGGCCTTGGTTATACGGCGGAAAACCTCGACAAGACACTTCGTGGAATCGATGTTCCTATATTGTCCCCCGAGGAGTGTAGAAGAAACGTTCATTGGTTAACAGATAGAATGTTATGCTCAGGGTATACCGAGAGAATTCTTGACACCTGTAAAGGCGATAGCGGTGGACCCCTGGCTTGTTATAATAAAGGGAAGTTTTACCTGGGGGGAATAGTCAGTCACGGCAAAAGATGTTCAAGGGTTCGTTCGCCAAATATTTACACAAATGTAAAATATCTTAAACCGTGGATTGTTCATGTAACTAAAACCTATTAGCTGCCTTAACTCTGGTGCCAGTTATACTGAAATATAACGGTTTAGTCTCTTCGTAGTCTTTGTGGCTTATTTTGTTTTATAGGCTGACACACCTTGCACTTAAAGAAAGTGCACTCTCGACAAGACACTTCGTGGAAGGGATGTTCCTATATTGTCCTTCGAAGAGTGCAGAAGAAACGTTCATTGGTTAACAGATAGAATGTTATGCTCAGGATATACTGAGAGAATTCCTGACACCCGTACAGGCGATAGCGGTGGACCCCTTGCTTGATATACTAAGTGTAGATGTAGATAGGCTTTTTCACGTAAGCATTAAAACTCGGAATAGCGCTGAACTCTCCAGTACTCCCAGAGAACAGAAGAATCCATCCTTCTGACCATTACACCCACTTTCATTTGGCTCAGCTTAAGGCACGGTCATTCGTTTTGTTACCTGAGAACCCCTTTACAAGCGACCGCTTTCGAACCAGTGAAGAATGGTGCAGTTTATTTTGGGGGCCCACTGGTGGTCGAGATTGACTGACCCAAAAATTAGAATTGTTAACCTGTTTAATTTAGAACGGCCTTACGCAGGAAAACAAGACTAGACTAAAAGCCCTAGGATTCAGATGCCATTGAATTTATAAACACTGTAGGTGAAGACTAAACCGACCCCATCACTATCCTACTTATCCCACTTTATCTTTACAGTATCAAATTGTGGGAATATTAAAAAAAAAGATAAAATTGATCTTTCCGTTTACCATAATTCACGATCTTTGGTATCTTCTAAAACGTCCAACACACTCAGCTGTGGCAAATATAAATATTTCTTTTAGATGCCATTTTAAAATTTATTTTTAGCTTTACACCTGTCTTGTGCATTGCTTAACCACTTATCCGTTCCTTGCTTTCAATCTATGTTTTTGAAGTCGTCAGCGTACTTATGCCTCCATATGTTTAATCCTGGAGAAACAATTAGAAAGACAGCTGATGTTTTTCTTTCTTAAAAAAAAACATTTTTTGCACCTGCTCAAAACGAATTTCAGGGAATTTTCAAAGGAGTGGTCGGATCACGGGAGAGGAGGAGACAGATGAAAGGTATTCTTGTGGTTGGAACACCCTCTTTGACAGCTAGCTTGCCTTCTATTTCCGGCCACTGTGAAGAAAGAAAATAAGAAATTATTATCGACCACCAAAGCTATAAAGTTTAAAAATATATCGGGGTTTGATAGAAGCGTTTTACATATTTAATCTTATTGTGGAGTACAAGGCGAATGTAAATTTGATTTTTTCCAGAAGTAGTATTTTTGGCTAATAATCCGACTGAAATGTGTCCAAGCCTATAGCTTAAACTTTTTGCTATGCCTTCCTCGCGCCACACAGGCAGTCTTTGTCTGTAGTCTGCTTCTGCTTTAACACCTCTAGAGGAAGGACAAACTTGAAACTTGATACCTACATTGTAAATCGGCTCCACGCAACGGTTTCGAAGGATCTCTCAAACGGCAGTTGTCCAATAAAGACGAAAGGCAATAAAAGCGATGGAGGTGAACGATTCTATTCTTGTCTCCTGTAGAAGTACCCAGTAATTTCGGAAACTGGAAAATTCTTTATCCATGGAAGGCTATTTTCTAAGGGCGACTCTGGCACTAGCTACCAGGGGCCAGGTTTTTCATTTCCGCCCACGCGTCGATCTATACACTTACTGTCTGAAACCTGACTTTCAACGGCGAAGTTATTATCCTAAAAACTCTCGAAAACGGGCCATCAATTTTGTGTTCAGGTTGGTCATTTATGAGAGTTTCAACTTAGAAAAACGACAACGATTTTGAGTCTTAAAGACATTTTTCGACAGAAACGTCCGTCACTGTTAGCCGATGCAAACTTAAATTTGTTCGCTTTACGTACAACTGTATCTTAACTGAAAGAGACAGAAATGAGAATAGCTTAGACGTGATTAGCCGCGCGATTTTATAATCGTTTAGTATCTTTTTTAATGATTTCTTTCGGCTGAATTCCATGACTAAACTGTTTTTGTTTTTCGCCGGTGCTGTGAGACCATTAAATCTAGTTTTGTTCATGATAACTCTGACTTAGAGAGAGGTAGAGCTACACTTAATGACCTAATGCTTGTTACTCTGGGACTGAAATGATTAAAGAACGAAGTTCGATTCATTCTTCGTAGAACGTAATAGTAAGTTTTTGATTTATATTTTTGCAAAGGAGGGGAATATTTGCTTGTGGCTGGAACACCCCTTGCTTACCAGTTTATTTTTTAGGAGCAGACTGAAAACAAAACTGAATTGGTCAGACTGATCGGTAGTCATCTTAGCTTGCAAATATTACTGTCATCTATGAAACAGGCGGTGAAGTGGCAAGTAGTGCTCTGTGACAAATTTTTAAAATAGGTTCAAATTTAGGTATTTTACATTTCGGTAAATTTTTTTTACTTGTCTTAATGATTTTTGACTTTACTGTTTTTAACTATTAATAAAAAGGGGTGTGCCTCAAACTGAAAGGTGTATAATCTTTCTAAGTAAAACCGGTCAGAATGACAACTACAGAACTGAATAATGGATGATAATATTTGCTCATCTATACAAGAGCAGACTTAATGCTTGAGTTTATTGCTGAATCAACTTGAAGAAGAAAGAAACACAGTAGTACTGCCAACTGAAGTGATTGACAATGAAAATGAATTCATCACGGTTTGGCGTTTTTATACTGTATACTTCTCTGCTTTATGCAGGTAAGGTTAAACCTGAAAAGAAAAGAGTTTGTTGAACATGAAAATATATTTACGTTAATGAAAGGCCAAGTAAATACTGAAGTTAAGTCTCAAAAGAAGGACGTTTTTGATCATGGGAAAAGAAAGACGTGAGTCATTTTCTCCAAACGATCTTGACATCAGCCTTTTTACGTTTGTGAAGGAGTTACCGCGTACGACGAGTTTCACAAAGCATGTGTGGTAGCCCACAACAAATTGAGAAAGCTTCATGGTGCCCAGTCTGTTGCATGGTCGGAAGAGCTTGGTGACGGGGCGCAAAAGTGGTGTGAAGAACTGGCTTTAAAAGACGTCCTCGCACACGACAACAAGACCATGGACACAGAAAACCAAGGGGAAAATCTTGCGGCTATGGCTGTGGCTGATCCCAAAAGTGAAGGTGCTACTCCTGAACAGTGCACCTTGGCTGTTCAAAAGTGGTACATGGAGGAAGGGAATTACAACTATCAGACAGGACTGCCTAAAGGTCCTGGAATGCCAATCAAACATTTTGCGCAGGTGCAGTTATGTATTCATGGTTTAGTCACATACGTACTTTCTTTGATAAATACAGGTCCTAAGTAGTGACATTCAAAGAACTGACTTGAATCTACTATTAAACTACAAATACCTGTCAGCCTAGCAAACCTAGCAGCAAACCTAGCAGCAATTTAACAATCTCACGCCGCACACCGTCTATAACACTCCTCGTCCGAGTCCTATTTCTATTTATGATCGTAATGTTCAATGGGAGTCTCGTTACACCCGTGAGCTGTTTTTATACTGGGTGACTTCTGTAATCTTAATTAATCTAAAACTGTAGCGTTCTCAATTACCCTTTAATCGGTCACGACTGCTTACTGGCATGATGATCATTATAGCTTACTGAACCCAACCGTTTGATTTTTAACTACTACGGTGGTGCATTTTGTTCCGGAAGTGTTGTCTTTTCTCATAAAAGGTTGTCTGGAACGATACATTTGAAATTGGAGCTGGGACCGCTCGTTCCACGGTTCATGGTGACATCATCTGCGTTCGTTACAGTCCCCGAGGAGCTGAGGGCGGCCCGAGCGACTTTAAGAAAAACATACTTCCTAATACAGGTATGTTTAAAAGAACGGAGTCTGTCGAAAGGGGCATGAACCCAAGTATTGGTGCCCAAGAGAGACTGGAGGGCAGTACCAGCGCCCTAGACAGTCAGACGGAGGGCAAAAGCAAAAAACATTAATGATGTAAGTTTAAAACGATGCACCAACTTGCCCCAAATGTACTTACTGAACAGCTTGTCATTCTGCGTCACACAGAATAAGATCCTAGAAATGTTGCACGTTAACTCGCCTTTACGGCAGAAACAAATTAAAACAAAGTAATTAAAACAATTGCAAAGTTTCAGATACAGTAGGGCCCTTTTATAGAATATTGTACCCCACAAATTCGGAAACGTGAGCTCTACAGACCAGTTAAAACGAAAAATCAGCAAAATTCCTAGTATGTGGGATCCCCACGCGGTAATTACTACTGAAGAAAAACAGGCTCTAAACTTAACGGAGCTTTCACTGTGTTTAAATGAGGACTTGAGTATGTATGCGTGTATGTATGTATGTATGAAGACGCCTTTATGTATACAACATTAAATGTAGCAGCATCTGTCTTTATGACTGTTTAAAAAATCTATTTCTTTTTCAGGCTCTGTGCTAAGTAACTTCTCTCAGGGAGGTAATAGAAAACGTACTTTGCTACAGGCAGCTATATTGCTATAGTCAAAATTTACTACTATTAATTTTTAGCGTTTACGCACGGTTTACCTGTATTCTATATATTGTGCACGAATGTTACATTAGCTCGGTAACAAGTTAGTTTATAACTTTGATTTCTTAAGGGATCAAACTGTTTTGCTGAATAGTGGTTTTTGCTTTGTAGAGCGCTTGCTTCAGCTGTCTTCGTTTAGTTTAATATGTTCAGTTAATTCATGATCAAAACCCTCGCTGCCGCTCAACTAAGCGGGGGTGTGGCCCTTTACTCTAACACTCAACATAAAAGAAATAAAAAATAACTCTTACTATCTAAAAAAAAAAGATAATTACTATTATTCTTTTGCTGCTTTTTTGAAAGCGGAAATAGCATTCTCTGATTTGGTAGAAATTGCGAGCGATTTAAGAGTCGGCAATAGTAGATCAAAGAGGTCGTCATTCATTTCATTACTAAATATATTGACGTACATATCAATTTTCAACTCCGCTGTAGATTTCAATGTAAAGAATGGCCAAGGATTCAAGTGCAAATATGGTGATCCTCAAGGGTGCAGTCAGGAAGGAGGGAATTATGGCGGAAGCTTAAGCTGCGGTGTTGGCAAAAAGTCTCGCATTGTTGGTGGAAAGCAAGCGAGGCCATCAGAGTTTCCCTGGCAGGTGGGCTTCAGATGGCAGACGCGGAACAGTAGAACTAACATCTTCTGTGGTGGATCTCTTATCGATAAAAAATGGGTGGTGTCGGCTGCTCATTGTTTCCAAAACTTGAGGCGACCTATAAACGAACTCAAGATTGTGCTTGGGGAATTTGACGTCAATAATGAAGAAGGAAATGAAGTGGTAATTGCCGCAAGAAAGGTATCGGAAAAGGTTTAATTTACGTTATGTACCTTATGTCGTGTCTTGGTGGTATGACGGGCCGATATGCTAGGGTTCGAACCTGTCAGAGCCGGTACTTTTCTTATATAACTCTCTACACCCAGGTGTACACCACTGTGCAAAAGCATTTTTCTCCCAAAACGTGGCCGACATTTAGTTTTACTTTCTCCTCGGATGAATGATAAAGAAAGCTAGCGCCACAATGTCATAAAAATCTCGCCAAGTCAAACTAAATTTCGTGCAAAGTATGAATCAACGCATTTAGGGCAGACGAATTTTCGCAGATGCAACTCAAATCTCGCTGAAATCACGCATGCGCGAAATGACACCTAAAGACATAGCAACAAGACAAATCGAGGCCTTTTCAAAACGCACATCACCATCAAATCTGCTTTCGGGTTTAACCTATTTTGGTCTTTTTTATTTGCATAACATATGATCCAACGTGAATTTGGCAGCCAATATCAGACACGTCAGATTATATTAGTTGTATCACAACAGAAAACTGTAACCGGGCGTGAAGGGTTAAGCGGTTTTATTTCGTTTTTATGTTCTGTTAGATCGAGAATTCAAACGAAAACTTCCAAGGAAACCTCATGCGATATTGAACAATTTTTATCTCCGCCTCCCAAACTTCTTGCATTTAGATTGGCCAGTTGAAACAGAAGCCATCAGACAGTTGCAAAAAAATTACTAAGAAGTTAATCAAGTCACCCTGGGAATACACGTCACAAGAGACGATGTTTGATCGTTGTCTCTTGGAATACATGCAATTTGATTATCCTTTATCACACGCGAAGTCCTGTTATAACTGAATTTTACTAAAACACTGACAAATGCTTGACCCGAATACAAATTAACACTAAAACTCTTTCCTCCTTTCCCCTCCCCCTCCTACCCCGTAGGACGCCTTTTCGTCTCTCCCCAAGCCTATTTCGAGTGTTAATCCGCCAAGATGGCACTCGCCTTATAAAAATGCAGTCATTCGCCAAAATACGCCTGTAGTGCAGGCTACGTGCTAGTATGAACACCTAGGCCTTTTCAGCACCAAACTTAACTATTTCACCTTTGTTGAGTGGCCGCGGTCACCTTTTGGTCGTCCCGACGAGGATTAAACTATTGTGTTTACCTGTAGGGTTGTTTCAAACATCTGTATTCTTTTATCACCCTTTCAATCTCTTAAATACGGTCAAACCCCTATTAAGCGGCCACCCTCATTGAGGTGATTTCTCAGTATTGCATTGCGCATCCCTACTACTCATCCCTACATTATCGCGTGCACACACAAAACGTAAGAGATTTCCATCACGCTAAGCTCGACAGTAAAATAAATGTTTGTTTCCACTTAAACAAGCACCGTAAGATACCTATTTTTATTGCATTAAATTAGTCTATAATTCATTGCCTTTCCACTGAATGAGTAAGAAAAAAAAATTAACGTCAGGTAAAAACTTTACTGCCAAAAATGTTTACTTACCCTTTCACTCGTGACCTGAAACTTAACACCCCTAGAAGACGCACGCTAGAAAGATGTTTAGTCAACTCTGATCCAAGATGTACATTTTTGCCAAGAAGCACATATCAAATTGTTCCTTTCAGACGATGCAATGCATCTTTTGAGACTTTTTAACATTAACTCCATGTGTTTGGCCATAGATTCTCCGAAACGTAGCGGCATTCAGAAAAAGAAAAACGCACTTAATGGGTACCATTGCTCGGATTTTTGACGCACCTTTGACGAGTTATGACTCTTAAACGAGCACCGTACCATATGTTTTTTACCGCACATTTCGAATCTCTGTATTATGGGGAACAACTACAAAAAATTTGAAAAAAATCTAACGTCAAGTGTTATTTTGATCTAGGGAATCACCTTAAGCGGTCAGTTATCGAAGTCCTGAAATAATTGTGAGTAATATACTGCAAACAAAACCCCTGTCAACGGGTCACCTTTATCGTGACCGCGACCACCTTTTTGTCGTCCCGACGAGGGTTATTCTGTTGTGTTTACTCGTTTTAAACGGCCACCAAAATGTAAATACGGAAAAGGCGATAACCGGATAAGAGCCCCAAGTAGAAAGGGACGCCAGATAAAAGCATTCAAACACACGTTTATCGACCTTTATCATGATTGTCTTGATGTGAACGTGATTCCATGCTTTAGGCAGTTAACCTGATGGTAAAAAATGTTCAATATACACCAACCCCTATTTAGCGACCAACCCCAATTAAGCGGCCACCTATCATTCCCCCGAGGTTAACCGCTTAATAGGGGTTCGACTGTATTTAGTTAGCCCCGTTACTGGACTGTGTTAACGAGGCAACTGCAAATTTAAATGTAAGCTTAAGGTCTCCAGTGGAATCAAGTAGTTTTAATGGTACTTCCGTTTCACGTCTCAGCTGGGATGCATCAGTGTGGTTCTAGCAGTGATCACTCTAACGAAAGGTTCACTCGATGAATGAATCACCTTAGACACAGGTTAAATCTGTTGCTGATTAATTGACTGATTAATTCATTGCTACAGGTAACCAACCACCCTCGATATAATTCGAACTCAATGGACAACGACATAGCGATTGTGGAGCTAGACAGTGAAGTGTCCTTCAATGATAACATGAAACCAGTCTGTCTGCCTTCACGAGGAATGAAATTCCGATCTAACACTATGTGTACTGTAACTGGGTTCGGGGCGATCAGAGAGGGAGGACCACAGGCCACGACACTGATGAAAGCAGATGTTCCCTTAGTTGACAACCAGAAGTGTTCAGAGTATTATAGGTCGCCCATCTCAGATCTCAAGATATGCGCTGGATACGATAAAGGAAAGATCGATTCTTGTCAAGGGGATAGTGGAGGCCCTTTGGTGTGCCCACAGAACGGGAAGGCTTACCTGGCAGGAGTGGTAAGTTACGGTATCGGATGCGCTAGACCAAAGTTACCCGGAGTGTACGCCAACGTGAAAAATTTGTTGGACTTTATCGAGGATATAAAGGGTAGTGCCTAATAAAGAAGTTAGCCTATGAGCAGAATTAAACATCAGAGTTAAGTGAAAAAAAAGGAAGGGTAGTGCCAATCAAAGAAGCTAGCCTGTGGCACTCACGAGCAGAATTAAACATTACCTCCTCTTTTGTGATCGTCCGGGCGAGGTTATTCGAGAAAGGGACTACTATTGGTGGCTCGCTCCTCAACGACCTGCGTGGAAATCATCATCACAGTCAAATGACAGAATGTTTCTCAGTAGATTAGTCCTCAAAAACTAATTGGGCAGGTTTGCCCTGAAGTTATTGGCCGTGACACTCGCATAGAGTTAGTTATTGAGAATCTGTTATCAGTTTCGATTCGTGTATTGTTATTCTATGCATTACGCTGTACGCTGTGTAACATTTACCAGAGTTCAGTTGATTCTATGCAGCGGTAGTTAAGCTTAGTTAGGCGATGGTGTTCAAAAGCGTAACTGTCTCTAGTCCTTTTGAGGACTACCTACAACTGGCGATCACATTAGACGGTCAACTGTTACTCCTGGGCTGTAACCATTAACTTTGAAGTAAATCAGTATTATTTTAAAGCAGAGGTGGAATAAAGCCTGAAATCTGAAGCCAAATTATTGTTCTGTATGGTACTGGACCCCAAAGAACTGGTTACTTATTTACAAAACTAGTAATAGTTCTCACTAAAGCTGCTCCCGCTTTGTTTTCTGATTGAACACGTACATCTAAACATTTTGCATGTTCTGAAACTTTCATTTCTTTTTCTGTGAACTATATCACTCATACTGACCATAGTGTTCCTTGGCGATTTATCATGAATATAACATCCAAACAATCAACTAAGGACACTAAACCAACGCAACACATGCTTTTTAACTCATTTAAGAACTTCGTTTTAACGGGTAAAACAAATGCAAGTCGTTGAGGAAAGGCAGTATCATGATGCACTTCAGGCGAGAATCATGTAAAAAGAACAAGAACTAAAACAAAAAGCAAGTTGAAAACGTTGATCTCATGAAGACAGACCACGATGATTAGAGGGTTCCACTAACAAAATGTCCCTTTCCTCTCAATTAACGCGTCCTTTCGACGTTAAAACCTACAGTTATTGTTATAAAGGTAAACAGTGGCAAGACATAAATAACCTATATATTCGTGTACTGATATATACATCTATAATCTATGCCCTCCTTCTTCGTGAAACAATAAAGTAATGCTATCTTACTTACGTTATATTTACTAGGCGAAAACTTTCGCATCATTTGACTGTTGGACTAAAATGGCCACAAGTAATGGTTTATAGCGCTTCTATAAGGGAAGTAGCTATTATTTAATTCCAAGGCAATTGCCACATGATGTAGCCCCTCAAATGCGAGGGGTAAAAGGATGTTTGGAAAACCCGAATAGTGAATAGCGAAAAGTCGCGAATAGCGAGTAGTCCCGAATAGTGCGAATAGTCTCGAATAGTGCGAATAGTGGCGAACAGTCGCGAATAGTGCGAATAGTCGCGAATAGTGGCGAATAGTCGTCAATATAGTCACCGCTTTAGTGCAGCACTGATTTAGATTCGTTGAAATTGAGCACGTGGAACAACTGAGCGTTTATCCGCGGACGCTGACAGATTCGACCAAGCACGTTCTGTGAAAAAGCAATAAAATACATGTGGGGCAAGTGGTCTGTGATTAGTTCATCAACTGATAAGACACAAAAGAGCTGCTCTGACAACCGGTTATAAAATCATCTAAGCTATATCTTGAATTTATTACCTTCTCTCCTCAGGACTCAGGCTAGGGCTGTCCATCGCCGACATTAAGAAAACAGAAAACACAAGAATAACCTAATAAAGATGTATTTACGCTTTTGCAACGGTGAAAACAAAAGAAATTACGTTTGGAAACACCTTTTGTCCTTAGAAGCGTCTATGCTTTTTAGCAGGAAAATCCCCTCCCACGTTGCTGAGAGGTTGACTGCGAGTTACTGGGTACCAAATTCCTGTCATTCGTCACTATATCTCCCCCTATTTGCCACTATTCGCGAATATTCGCCACTGTTCGCCACTATTCGCACTATTCGTACCATTCGCTATTCGTCATTCGGGACCATTCGCTATTCGTTATTCGGGACTATTCGCTATTCGCTATTCGGGTTTCAGACACCCAGGGCTCGAAACCATCAGGATGAAAATGAAAACTACACTGCATATTCTAAGGAGGGAAGGAAAGAACGGCGCATATAGGTAAAGTTCCGGTAATGCTATAATTCATGTTCAAACCTGCGTGTCCTCAAAAATATGATGATAATACTAGTATGACCCGTGTAACAGTTTTCTTTGAAAAACTTCTCTAAATCCAGAGGTTAGCCCAGGGGAGGATTGATCAGTAGAGGTAGAGTAGAGGCAAGTAGAGGTAGGGATAAACCAAATGACCTCGGCTATGACCACTGAGACACTCTCCGAAAGAAACTAAATGCAAAACTGGTGATTTAGGAATCTCGCCCGACAGGAGTCAACAGCTGATTCCTGCAAACGCGCGAAAATCTCGGATTTGACACTGGTTCCTGGCTTTGAGACCGAAATTTCACCACGGATGGCGAGTGATGCTGTTTCGACACATGTAGGTAGGAGGCCCATTACCCGAATCCAACACCCACCTTACAGATGTGGCTAACGTCTCATAAGTGCTTGGTTCGTGGGTCTGGGAGGATTCTGAAACAAGATAGAAAAAAGAAAGATAATTACGTCTATAATCTAATGTCTTGTATGAGAACAAGGCAAACGCAAGGAAATCCTTTGTTCTCTAGAACACCAGTGGTACGAGGTCAGTCGTGGCTATCAAAAACAAATTGAGCACCAGGAGAACAAGGCCATGGTTGTCAAGACAAAAGATACCAAACGTAAAACAATAGTTAATATTCTTACAATCCCCTACTCGAATAAAACGCGAAGGTCTCAAAAGAACTCAAACTAGAACGTGATACGGTGCGATACGTAATGCCAATTCGTACCACGAAAGCTTGGTACAATTTTAACACGGAAGATAGTGACCAAGGGAAGCGCCAGGCTCATTAAGAGGAACAATGTTTAATTTTTAGGAACAGGT